GAAAAAGGTCTTAGCTCTTCACAAAAGCCTTCTTGCATTCATTACACTCATAGGGTCACTCATCCATGTGAACTGACTCATATTGAATGAGGAAGGTGGGAGCCCCACTTGAAAGCACCCTACACTCATCATAGAGTTCGTGGTCAAAGGCTTCTCCAAAATTAGGTCCTGGGCAGAGAGCTTTTGGGAATTTGGATGGTAACTTTTCTAATTTAGCATCTCTCAAAGTCTCTAGATTTGGAGCAGACACCAAGTGATTTTAGTCAGTCTCCTATGATCTAGGAAGATGTTATTCCTGGACCTCTCCAGCATCATATCCCTATAGAGGGCTCAATGAGTGACATCAGATTGCCCTGTGTGAAATACATGGGCAGATCCCTACATGTTACTAACTTCTTGTTAAAGGGACAACTGCCATCATCTGGTCTCTTGGGTTTTCCTTGGGAGAAAGGATGGGAACCTTAGGAGTAGACGAGTAGGGTTATGATTGATGGAAGTCTCAGAGCACCATTATCTCAATATGTTATTTCTTAAGTGTTGAGCAGTTGAGAGTGGGGCAAGGCAGGAGGGGATTGCTACTTGGAAGGCTGCCACTTCCTCCTTGTAACATGAACCTACAAATAGATAAACTCGTTGTTGTTCAGTCATTTCAGTCATGTCCAACTCTTTGTGACCCCATTTGGGGTTTTCTTGGCAAAGATCCTGGAGTGGTTTTGCTGTTTCCTTTTCCAGCTCATTTTACAGATGAGGAAACTGAGGCAAATGGGGTTAAGTGACTTGCCCAAGGTCATACAGCTAATAAGTGTCTGAGACCAGATTTGAACTCAGATCTTCCTGACTCCAGGCCCCATGCTTTATCCACCGGGCCACCTAGCTGCCTGTGAATAAACTGGAAGATAATCCTTTTTATTTAAAAAAGGACCCACTTTGGGGTTCCTTAAGTATGGAGTACAACTGCCCAGCTTGGCTTGGGGAGGAACATGGTGTTGCCTGAAGCCAACTCTTTTGTTTTTAAAATGCTTTTCCTTACAATATTTTCTGAGGTTAAGAGTGTATGTATTCTAATCCCCATTTCACAATTGGGGAAACTGAGACATGGAGAGATAAAATGGCTTACTTGTCCAAGGCCATGGGGCTAATGAGTGGTGGAACTGGCACTGGAATCCAGATTGCCTGACTCAGAGACCAAGTCTTTCTGAATTAATAATAGCACCTTACATTTCTATAGCATTTTATACAGATTGTTCCATTTGTAGGATCAGAGATCTAGAGGTGGAGGGGACCTCAGAGGACCCCTTATTTTACAGATGAGGAAACTGAAACTTGGGGGACTAAGTGATTTGCTCAGATCCCACAGGTAGTAATCATCAGAGGCATGATTTGAATCCATGATCTGGGACTCTAGAGCCCCCAGTGCTCTTCCCACTGCACCCAACCATCCCATTTGATCCTTCCATCAACCCTGTGATATGCATAGTGGAGATTATTACTGCTTCTGTTTCTCAGATAAGAAGAGAGGTTGACTTGTATGCCTATTGTGCTGGGTGAATTGGTCATCTAATGAATAAGGCCAGAACTGGCCCTGGAAGCCAAGTCTTCTGATTCCCGGGTATTTCTCACTGTACCACATTGCCCTGTTCCCTTCTCCCTGCCCAGGTGACCGGGTATGATCCTCCCACAGTGAGTTAGAGCACCCTCTGTTCCAGAGTGAGCCAGATGCTTAACCACTGACACATTCCCATTCATCCATTCACCTTTGTCCATGGTCCCTGTCAGCTGCCCAAAATTTCTGTCCATTGGAACACTTCCTCATGAGAAAGACTTGTCACAGTGTCTAATCTTGGAATGGAACTCAAATACGGCTCCCCTCTTGTGTTCGTGAGCCTCCTCTTGTGGCAGAGTGGGAAAAGCACTGAGCTTGGAGTCCCTCTGACCCCCTGGGAGTGACCTTGTGGACAACTTATAAGCCCTTGTTTCCTCATCTGCAAAATGAAGGTATTGGACTAGATGTCTCTAAGGTTTGCTTCTGGCTATACATCTTGTGTTTAAACGGAGACCTTCCTTTAAATGGAAGAATTTGGATCCAGTACTCACATTTAGGAAGCCCCCTGGTCTTTTCAACAACATACATACAGGCTTCTCTTGTGGGAAAGTGGAGAGGGCTGGGAGTGGGTGGGACACTTGGGGACAAAAGAGACTTCTGAACTGATATAGAGTGAAGTATGCAAAATCAGGAAAAGAATATACATTATGAAAACAAATGTGAGCAGAAAGAACAAAAAATCAAAATAGGAAGCTGTGTAATTTCAAAAACTGAGTTTGGCAATAGAGAAAAAATGAGAAAACACTCTTCCCTCCTTCATTGTTGGGGTGGGAAACTATGGGTGGGGAATGTTGTATATATTCCCAGAGTCAGTTTGCTTTGACTGAACTGTTTTTTTCTCCCTTCTCCCTCTTTTAAAATCTTTGTCAAGAGGAAAGGCTCAATGAACGTGGGCAAGAAGGACATATTTAGAAATGAATGTGACATAAAAGACATCAATTTTTTTTAAAATGAAAGGCTTTCTGAGGTAGCAGATTCTGTATTAATGTTTTAGAGAATTAACTTTCCTGACCTTGTCCTCAGAATTCTGGAGGTGATCTTAAGAGAGATAAATAGTCATTGATTTGATTAAGAAATTTGCCCTAAATTTGTGGGGGAGCAAGAACCCAGGTCTCTTGGCCATCAGGCCAGGCAGGACTCTTCTCTCCCATGATAAATTAGGCTTAAAATGACAGTTGTGTAGTGGATAGAGCACCGGCATTGAAGTCAAGAGGACCTGAGTTTAAATCTGGCCTCAGTCACTTGCCACTCACTAGCTGTGTGACCCTGGGCAAGTCATTTAACCTGGATTGCCTCAAAAAAAAAACCCCAACAGTAACAAGAAGTCACTAAATCCTACACTATACAATTGTCTGTTAGATCTCAGAAATTACAACTGGAATAGGTTTGATAATCTATCTAGTCCAGTTCCTTCTTGTACAAATGAGGGAAACTGAGTCCTAAAAAGGAGTGAGTGGCTACCCCAAAGTCACATAATCCAAAGAGCTTGGAGTCAAATTGAGGTTCTCTGACATCCCAGCTCCTCACCTGTGCTCTTCCAATGACACGGTGGTGCCCCTGGCATCTTATCTGCCCTTTTCTCCCCTGCCCTGGTTGGGGACCTAGCTCCTCACCTTGTTCCTGTGCCTGGTTCAGGGCTCTTTCCCCATGGAATCAAGGGCTGAGGATTGGCAGCAAGCAAAGCTATTAGAGATGCAATGCCCCCTCCCCTAGCCTGGGCACTCGGGTCTCCTGTTAGCCCTTTTCTGTCTTGGCAGTGGCTGCATTGACACTCTCATATACTTGAGACTATTTGTCCTTGGGCTTTGCAAGGCTATGAATCTATTCCCTCTTTCTTTCTTTCTTTCTTTCTTTCTTTCTTTCTTTCTTTCTTTCTTTCTTTCTTTCTTTCTTTCTTTCTTTCTTTCTTCTTTCTTTCTTTCTTCTTTCTTCCTTTCTTCGTTCTTCAAGTGCATTAGCTAATCCCTGTCCAGATCTCCACATAGACACTGTAAATATGAAGACTTCTGGACAGAGGATCAAGCCTACTTCTCTGAGGGGTAGTTTGGAGAGTAGGTGTGGGGCTGTGGAAAACCTGGCCGTGAGAGCAGCTGTGGCTCACATAATGGGGTTAGGGCTGGAAAGATGGCAGCAACAGAATCTACACAGAAGAATGTGTTGGAGTGTCCACTGGCGTGGGGGGTCAAGAGACTAGGGTTCCAATCCCAAATCTGTCACAAACTAGCTATGGGAGCCCAGGCCAGTCACTTCACTGTTCTGTGCCTCAGTTTTCTCGTTTGTCAAAGGTAGATAATGATCCCACCTACTCCCTCATTTATGAAAGAGCTACACAATGCTATGTAAATGTCTATTATTATTATTAATTATTAATATACGTATGTTTTCCTTTGGTAGTCAAGTAGAGCCGAAATGAGAGAGAGAGAGAGAGAGAGAGAGAGAGAGAGAGAGAGAGAGAGAGAGAGGAAGGAGGGAGAGGGGGAGAGAGAGAGAGAGGGAGGGAGAGAGAGAGAGAGAGAGAGAGAGAGAGAGAGAGAGAGAGAGAGAGAGAGAGAGAGAGAGAGAGAGAGGGAGGGAGAGGGGGAGGGAGAGAGAGGGAGAAGGGAAGAGAGAGAGAAGGGGGGAGGGAGGAGGAGGGAGGGAGAGAGAGAGAGAGAGAGAGAGAGAGAGAGAGAGAGAGAGAGAGAGTGTTGGGGTGGCACATCCCTACTACTAGAATATAGGGAATAAAGCAATTTAGTGGAAAAGGGAAGGAAGGCTTCCTGAAGGAGAGAGGGCTTGCCCATCCCTGAAGGATGAAGAAGATTTGCAATAGGTAGGGGTGGGTTAAGAAGAACGTTACAGATGAGAACAATCAGGTCAACAATCTCCCAGCAGGGGCATGTGTAGGAAGAAACAGTGAGCTGGAGCACTAGCTTTCTGTGGAGGAGCAGTTGCCACTGGACTAGAAAGGATGTCAAGGGACCCTTTAATCCACACATGGAATAATTGCCAATTTGCCACATCTCACATTTAGTCATGGAGGGTCTAGAGATCTTGTGGAAAGATAGGGAACCTGTGATCTAGACTGTTTTTAAGACCACCTCCATTTCTGTGACTCTACAAGCTGAGAATGGGTCTGTTAAACCGTGGAAGTTGGAGGAGGGTGATGCCTGAGAGACAGGAGACCTGGATTCTAGTCACGGCTCTGTTAGTAACTTGTGATGTGATCTCGGGCAAATCTCTCCCTTGCCATAGACCTTCAGTTTCTTCCTCTTTGTAGTGGAGGGGCTGGACCAGATGGTCTCTAAGCTCCCTTCCAGCCTTGACATTCTATGCTTCTATAGTTCCATGATTCTGATTCTAAGGAAGGTTCTGGGTTGGTCTCCTTCCTGATGGGCTCTGGCCCGTGTCCTTGCGTGTTTCCCCTCGGCAATCAGGGGTGTGGAATTCAGCCTTTCTAAAGGACCAGATAAGAGAGTGGGGTGGGAAGGGGTGGTGAGTAAGACAAAGGTAGGGGTGGGGGGGAAGCCTGGCTGGTTCTTTCTCACCAAAACCACAGCGGGACGAGGAAGTGGTGTGAGCTTTGGGATGGAACAGCTTTGTTTCCCTTTGAGCAGGCTCTATGTGGCCTCAGATGGGGAAGAGCTGCCAAGTGGGAGCTCATCCAAGGGAGGCGAGTCACTCATACTGGCCCCAGCTTATTCCTATGGTTGGTGTGGTAGCTGGGTTGGCCCTAAAAATTGACAGAATCACTGGCTACCTGTGAAACTGTGAAGTGAGGGAGACTGGAAAGCACCCCTCCAGTCCCAAAAGCCACCTCACATTGCCTTCCTGACAATCCACACAGTCAGAGAATCACCTCTTTGGGCTAAGCATCTCTATAAGGGATAGGAATCAGATTTGTGATTTGGTTGGCAGGTTGGTACTTTCTCTGCAATTTATGGTCTCAGAATGTTGCCCAGAGCCCTGAGAAATTAAGTGACTCGCCCCAGGGTCTTGCAGCAAGTTATGTGTCAGAAGGCAGGACTTACACCCAGGACTTCCTGGCTCTGAGGCTGGAGCTAGTACCAAGAAGCACATGTGATACAGTGGGGAGAAATCACTGCCTCTGGAGTGAGAGAACCTAGGTTCAAAGCCCACCAATGATGTTCAGAATCCTTGTGTTCTGGGGCAATGGACTCAACCCCTGTAGGCTTCAGTATTCTCATTTCTAAAGTGAGGTGGTTGGACTGAGGTCTCTTCGGGCCTGAAAGGAAATGGGAAGAGATGGTGGTGGAGATAGTGAACCTAAAAAGGCAGTGGAGGCTTCTGACAATTTTGCTATCTGTGGGCTGACCCTGAAAGGGAGGCAGGGAGAAGAGAGATGTGGGAGAAGTCTCTAGGGAGAAGGAAAGGAAAGGAGTAGGAGGATTCTCCCCCCATTGAGAAAGAGGAGAGGAGAGAGAGAGAGAAAGAGAGAGACACAGAGAGAGAGAGAGAGAGAGAGAGAGAGAGAGAGAGAGAGAGAGAGAGAGATACAGAGAGAGACACAGAGAGAGGAAGATGCATTGGTAAGAACCTTGAGTTCCTAGGGTAGGGGTGGGAATGTAGGGAGAGATCCAGGAGAGTTAGGTTCTGGTTCCCTACTCTGCCACTGACTCACTGCACAAATGACTTTGAGAAAATTGCTCCCCCAGTCTGGGCTTCAGTTTCCCTCTCTGTAAAATGGGGATGATAATCCTTGCCTCCTTTACAAAGGTGTTGTGAGGATCCAATAAGATAATCAATGAGAAAGGGCTTTGAAAGTTCTATCACATTCTACCTAGCACAGTTATTTATGTGGTGAATATTTGATCACTTCTACCAGCCTGGACACTACACAAGGGCAGGGAAGCCTGTCTTTTATCTCTGTATCTCCTTCAGTGTCTACCACATAGGACAGGTGGGTGGAAGAAGGGAATAGAGAGAGTAGAAAAAGGATTGCGAGGAAAAAGTTGTAAAGAGGTTGAAAGGACCAAAGATGAGGAAGACCAGGAGGTTAGGAAAGAGGGATTCTGTGGAAACAGGTGAGACTGGTAGTAGATGACAAATTCAAACCAGGTTTATTTGCTTTTTCCAAAAGGTTTCAAATCCTAGCCAGGGGTGGGGAACCTGCAGCCTCGAGGCTACATGTGGCCCTCTAGGTCCTCAATTGATGGAATCCAAACTTCACAGAACAAATCCCCTTTATACAAGGATTTGTTCTGTGAAGTTTGGATTCAGTCAAAAGGCCATACCTGACAACCTAGAAGGCCACGTGTGACCTCAAGGCTGCAGGTTTCCCTCCCCAATGATGGAATTACTTCTGCTGTATCTCTAATACTTATCCATGCAACTTTTGTTTGAACACTTCCAGAGATGAGTTCACTATCCTAGAGACAGCCCCTTCTATGGTGGACCTATTACCTATCAGATAGCTCTGATTGATACTGAGTTTAAATCTCCTTCCATGTAACATTTCCCCTAGTTGTTTCCAGATGCGCTCTGGAGATAAGACTCTCTGCTTCCTCTTCCCCATCACAACTCTTGAGATATTTGAAGAATGCAATTATGTATCTCCTGCCACCCCTGAAACCTTTCCCTTCTCTACGATTACTATCCCTGGTTCCTTTAACCAAGAGCTTTATCATGGTGCTTTAGGTACTGATTCACCATCCTCACTCTTCTCTAGACTTGCTCTGGCTTCCCCCCAAAAAAATTGGCACCCAAATAAGAAAGAACACTCTAATTGTGGTCTAGTTGGGGTAGAGGATACCCTTTCTGAGCAGGGGGCATAGGAAGGAAGGATTCTCCCCTAAAATTGGCATCCAGAAAGAGGATGCTCCAGTTGTGGCCTGGCCAGGGCAGAGGATGCCCATTCTGAGCAGCGTAACCAGAATGGTGAGGAGACTTGAAGCTCTGTCACTTGAGGATGAATTGAAAGAGCTGGGGATAGTTACCTTGGAGAAGAGATTTGGGAGAAAGCATGACCATGGTCTTTAAATATCCGAAGGACCATTAAGAGAAAGAAGGATTCAATTTGTTCTTTTTGGCTGCTCTAGGGCTAGTGAAGGGGAGTTAGAGGGAGGCAGATTCTGATGGATTAGAGGAAGAATGACCTTTAAACTAGAGCTGCCCCACAGTGCAATAGGTTTCTGGGTAGTTAAGGAGCTTCCTGTTGCTAGATATATTTAAGAAGAGGCTGGATGACTTGGTGATGTTAAGGGGATTGCATTGCTTTGGATTAGATAAAATCTTTGAGGTTCCTTCTAACTCTGAACTTCTATGATTCTATGACTATCACCTCTCTTGTTCTAGACATAAAACTTTTAATTTGATGGTGAGGTTAAGGGTAGAAATGTCTAAAATGATAGTTTTTTTAAAAAAAAATATGTATTTGTAGTTCTTATCAGGGAAGTGCTGAGCCTATCCAAAGGTGTCCACTTTCTCCAATGAAACTTTTGCTCAATAATTCTCTCAAGGCCCTAGGGCTCTGTTCTACTCAACTGGAAGTCACTGGTCAAGAATGGCGAGAATGTTGGCTTGGGAATAATAGGCCCCAAGTTCAAATTCTGCCATTCTCACTTGATTGCATGACCATCAGCAAGTTACTTTACTTTTTTAGGTCCCAGTTTCCTCATCTGTAAAATGACAGAGTATGACTAAAATCAATTTTAATTGTGTATCTATGAGCGTATGAACTTTCTCCCCTTTCCCCAGAGGGTAGATTAGGTATTTTTCTGGAACTGGCCATATCTAGATTCTAATCTAAAACAGATGACTCTTCAAAGTCATGTAGTGGAGGGACAGGTCTGTAAAGGATACCTGCACAAACAAACCACAAACTGATGCTAAAGTCAGACAAATAGGGCAGGTATTTATGGGGTAGAGATGGAGGAAAGGCAGCAAAGAGGAGGAAGAGAGGGGAATTCCATGTTGAGCCAGGGGAAGGGAGGGGTCAGGGTAAGTTCTTGATATTGGTAGGACCTTGTGAATATTTTTAGTGTTGATAGAGAGTTTCATGACTGGTAAAGTATGGAAAGAGGGATGGGAATTTCAGAATAACAGGTAAGGATTTAGAGATGAGCATAGGCTGGAAAGAAGACCAGACAATTCCAAAATGGCAACTCAAGACATCTATTAATAGAACCATAGTCTTTGACTGTTAAACTGAATACTATCTCCATAGCTCATTCCTCTTACATGCTTTTGTTTTTGCTAATCTTCTCAAATGAAGACTTCTCCATTTCCCACCCCTCCTTCATCTCTGCACTAGCCTTTAGAGCCTAGATCCAGTCCCTACCTCCTCCAGGAAGTCTTTCCTGACCTGGAATATCAGATCATTAGAATCCCCCTTTTCCTGGTAGACCATAGGATTTGTTATCTCTACCATGCTCTTTGACCTTCAATTCTATTTGATTCAATTTTACATCATGCATAGCCTAGGTTTTTTGGAACAGCCCAGTGAAAAGAACCTTGGACTGGGAGCCAGGAGGTCTGAGTTCTAGTTCCGACTATGCCATTTATTTGCAATATATAGACATGTCACTTCAAGGGGATGAAGGAAAGGGGAAGGAAGGAAGCATTTATGTAGTACTTACTATGTGTCAGGCACTGTACCAAATGCTTTACAAATATTATCTAGTTTGATCCTCACAACCACCCTGAGAGGTAGGTACTATTATTATCCTCCATTTAATAATTAAGGAAACTGAGGCAGACAGAGGTTAACTGACTTGCCCAGGATCACACAACTAGTAAGTGTCTGAGACTGGATTTGAACTCAAGTCTTCCTGACTCCAGGGAAGTTAGATGGTACAGTAAACAGAGTACTGGGCCTGGAGTCAGGAAGACTCATCTCCCTGAATTCAAATCTGGCCTCAGATATTTACTAACTGTGTAATCCTGGGCAAGTCACTTACCTATGTTTGCTTCAGTTTCCTCATCTGTAAAATGAGTTAGAGAAGGAAATGGCAAACCATTCCAGTATCTTTGCCAAGAAAACCCCAAATGGGGTCACCGAGAATGAGATGTGACTGAAACAACTGAACAATAACAACTTCCCAACTCCGGGACAGGTACTCCATCCGCTGTGCCACTCAGTTTCCTCAGCTGTAAAATGGGCATGATAATAGCACCCATCTCTTAGGGTTGTTGTAAGGATCAGATGAGATAATTTTATAAACTGTTTAGCATGGTGCCTGGCACAGGTGTTGTTATTATTATTATCTTATTATTTAGTAAAGATAAATGTAAAGTCCTTAAAAGAAAAATCAGTTCCACAAAAACAATATGGAGATGTGGCTAGACAACATTGTGTGTCAAAAAGATCTGTGGATTAGAGTGTATTTCAAATTCAATATGAGCTAACAGTATGACAGGTGGCTAACAAAGACTGCATCAAGAGAGGGAGTGTTCAGAATGAAGGAGGTGACATTTCTGCTGCCCTCTGCCCCATCAGACCATATCTGAAGTGGTATGTTCAATTTGGGGGGCCGTGTTTTAAGAAGGACATTGACAAGCTTGGGAGCCTACAGAGTAGGGCCATCAGGATGCTAAGGGAACTGGAAACCACACCATGAGAGGACTGGGTGAAGGATTCCAGGTTGTTTAACTTGGAGAAGACCCAGTGGGACCATAATTGTTGTCTTTAAATACTGGAAAGGCTGTCAGGTGGAACAAGGGATTAAACTAATTCAATCTGGACCCAGAGGACAGAAATTGAGGCAACTGGGCAGCAGATTTAGACTCAATGTATAGGAGAACTTCTTAACAAAATGGCTCTCCCAGAGTGTTAAGGGGTTATCTTGGAAGGTGTTGAGTTCCCCTTCCCTGGAGGCCTTCAGGCAGTGTGGATGGATGACTATTTGTTGTTGATATCACAGAAGGGAATTCCTACTCAGGTATGGGTTGGACACTAGGTGATCTTCGAGGTTTTTTCCAAATCTTCTTGGATTCTGTGATTCTTCTTTGTTCTTTCCTCCACTATTCTGTTTCTTCCTCTACCGTGTTTCCCTTTGTATTGTGTTTTTGTCTTTGTTCTAGAGAAAGGGATAGGAAGACAGAGAAGGAAAAAGAGGGGGAATGAACATGGGCAAGAGAGAGAAGGAGGTAGAAACCACAAGAAAGAGAAGGGGCAAGGGCAGATGGAGAGGGGTAGTCTTTGGCCCCTTGGTAGCTTTAGGGCTGCATGCAGGTCACCCTGAGCATAAGCAAGACACACCCCCTCAGAAAGAAGTTTCTGATGAAATTGCTGTGTCTATTTGCTGTTCATTTCCCACTGAGAGCCTGTGGGCTTAGCTTCTACCACACCCCTCTCCTCAGAACCTCCCCTCCCATAAAATCTTGTCCAGGACACCCAGGGCAGACACATTACTGCTTGGGGGCATGCAGAGCTGGTTCCCATACTTTGGGTGAGCATACACTCCCCTTCCCAGGTAAGACCAGCCAGGGGGCACCTCCATTCCAAAGTAGGTGCATGAGTGAAGGAGAACTTGGGGCCTCCTGGACCTAAGATTCTATTATTATAAGGGTTTTGTCTCCTGCTTTGGGGGGTTAGAGGGTGGGTATCATAGTGGACCTACTGAACAGAAGTAGGAGTCCCGTTCTCAGCCCAATGAACCAAATAGCCATCATTAATAAGTATTATTATGCAGTAAATGAATTCATGCTATTCCCAGGGCAGTATCCACTATTTCTGAGGGGTGCCCTGGACCTGGCTTAAGGCTGTAACCACCAGAGTTGGTTTGCAGGGAAAAGGAGGAGGAGAAAGTGGGAAATAAAGCTAATTTCCCCCCAGCATAGTGCGCTGAATTTCATTCACTGGCTCTAGCTCCAAGACCAACAGAAGCCTGTGTCTCATTTTCTTGGGGAAGATGAAGAGGTCAGTGCCCGCCTCCAGCAGTCTCTGCTCCCTTCTTCCTTCAGGTCCCTTTATTCCTACTATAGCACATCCAAGGACTGAAATAGGGCTGAGGGACTGAGGTAAGTAGACTAGGGGTTGTGGATGAGATAGAAAGGGGTGGCCGAAAGGATGAAGTTGGAGGAGTCTGGAAAGGTGAGGGGGGTGATTTCCTGAGACTTTCTCCTATTCACACCCACCCCCTTTTGCCCCAGTTAGGAGAGCTGTTTTAGTCTGAGTCAGCCCAGGGCTAAGAAGGAACCATCTGAGACTGTGTGTGAGGGTCTTATCCCATATTCCTCTGAGGCTCACAAGCTGCTACTTGGGAGGAAGAGGACCTAGGAGCCATGGGCCTCCTCACCCAGTTTCTGGCTCTGCTGCCGGTACTATGCCTAGGTGAGCTGAGTGGGTGGGCAGCCTTCCCCAGAGAGGCTTCTCTTAACCCCCTGCCTTCTCTGTCTCTGTCTTTTCTTTTTTCTCTCCTCTAGCCTTTTCTTTCTCTGCATGAAACATAGAATGTCATAGATGGAAAAGACCTTAAAGATTACCTACTCATACCCTCCACTCCCATCCCCACCCCTTTTATAGATAGGGAAAATTGATTCCAGGGAGAAAAGACTTGCCCAAAGTCACACAGAAAGTTAGTGGCAGAGCTGGGAATGGAATCCAGTGATCTTGAACCTCCCCAGCCCAAGGCCATCTCTACCTCCCTTCTACCCACTCAGTTTCTATTGGCTTCCCTTGGGTGAAGGAGGACCTCTGGGGGAAAGGGCGTTAGGGTAGGGCAGACTTTGCCACTAGTGCTGATCTCAAGAGACTCCCAGAAAATACCTTTCTATTTGAGGGCATCTCTCTTTAGCCCCAGTGTCCACCCTTCTTCCATTCCCCCCACCCACCCGAGGCCAACCTGTGTAGCCCCTTCCTTGTCTTCACCCACGCTGTACAGGGCTGTCCTGGGCTGCAGGGAACAGCCCTACCATGGGGAAGAGCACTATCCTGGGGCTCACCACAACACCGCAACACCACAACGCTACTACAGAGACCCCCGTGGGGAGCAATGCCGCCGCAGAGAACAATGGCCCCCCGGGCAACAGCTCCACTCTAGGGAACAGTACTACCGTGGAGAACACTGGCCCCCTGGGCCGCAACACCTTGGGCCACAGCACCGCCTCCGGGACCCAGCGTATCTTGAGGAACAGCGCAATCACAGGGAGCAATGCCGCTACAGAGACCCAAACCTCGCAGATCAACAGTATCTTGGGGAACAGTATCGTCGCAGGGATCCATACTATCCTGGGGAACAAAACCCAGGGGAGCAACAGTATCGTGGGGAGTACTACCGCTGCAGGGACCGATGTCCTGGGGAGCAAAACCTCAGAGATCTACGTTTCCTTGGGGAGCCGTCTCACCATCGGGACTCAGGCCTCGCCGAGCAACAGTATCTTGGGGAGTATCACCACCGACAGCCAAACCCTGGGAAACAGCGCTATCTGGGGGAACAGTTCCACCACCGAGAACCAAGCCATGGAGAACAACGTTACCTCGCGGAGCATTTCCAGCCCCGGCAAGCAAGCCCCACAGAACCTCGATACCTTGGGGAACAACGCCATCACCCCGGAGGACGTTTCAATGGGGAACGCCTTCTCGGAGAGCGGCTCCCTGGGGAACAGCGGTTCACTGGGGACCAATCCCTGCTTGGGGACCAACGTCACCGCAGAGACCAAAACCCCGGAGGATATCATCCCGGAGAACAATACTACCGCGGGGAACAGTTCCGCCACAGGGAACAGCAGTGCCACCCTGGGGAACAGTCTTACCGCAGAGAACCACGACATGTCGGGGAACAAAATTTCCGAGAACGTCACCCTGGGGACCGTCTCCACAGAGAACAATGTATCCCTGGTGATCAGCGAAGACACTTTGGGGAGCGGTACTACCACAGGGACTCAAGTCTGGAGGACCAGTGTTACCATGGGGAACGCCAACATAGAGAGCAAAGCTTTGGGGAACAATACGGTCCCTTTGGAGGAGGACGCTTTGGTGAGTTAGCGCTATGGGATTGGGAAGGGTCAGCACCTGTTGCGGGGGGGGGGGGGGGGTTGGAGGGAGGGGATGCTAAGACCTAAGGTCCTTTCTGAGTCACATTCCTCCTATGTGCTATCCGAGGTTCCAAGTCTCTTCAGGAGAATTCACTGTCTAGCAGCTGTCCCTATGGCCTAGACTCAAAGAGCATGCAAGACCACAGAGCACACCCTGGTTCTGGCTTGTTGTGAGGATTAAATGAGACAGTGTCCTCCAAGGGCTTGGCAAACCTACATTATGGGAGGGATCAAGATGGGCCTGGTGCCATGATTTCATTAGTTTAAGGATCTTCCAATGAGGAAACTCCCTCTACCGAAGCAGATCCCATATACTCTACAGCCTTTGGTCCGAGGGTTGCCTGGGCATAGTGAGAAATTAAGAGATTTGCTCGGGTCACAAGGCTAGTATGAGTTAAAAACAGAACTTAAACCCAGGGTCTTCCTGATGCCAAGGATAGCCATGTGAATACAGAATGCTGCCTCTGAGAAATGTTATTCTTTATCATCATTATTATCATCATTATTATTATTTGGAGCTGGGGGCCAGGGGGCCTTGTGATCTGGGGAGGAGCAGACACACTAAGGACTAATGTGAACTGAGCCAGGCTGGTTTGGGCTTCAGGGTTTGCTTTTAACACGTTGAAGAATTCAACTCGAAGGAAAGAGCCCTGAACTGGTAGGAGTCAAGAGTCCTGTGCCAGCTTTACTACTAATTTGCTGTTTGGGGCTGGAGTTCACCTCCTTTCTCTGGGCTTTAGCTCGAATGAAAGTAATAATGCCTGCCCTGCTTTCCTCCAAGGGCTGCTACAAGAATTAAATGAGATGATAGCTGGGAATGTGGTCTTTAAACTATAAAGCTCTGTGTATATGTGAGGAGTTAGTATAAGCTCAAATGGATCTTCTTTTCTAAAGGCATGGCCCATGTCTCCTCCTTCTCCTGGATCCCCCAACTGCTTATCCCAGAATTGGCAAGGAAGTAGCTCAGGAAAGATGGGGGGATGGTAGGGAGGAAGGCCATGATTGAAGTCATCAGATATCTCTTATTTCTTTTCTTTCTTAGTGCTTGGATGCTGGGATAAACGGTGAGTGTCCAGTCTCTCAGAAGCATATAGCCTTCCCTTTTTTCCTTCCCTTTCTTGGGACATTCTGAGTCAGGAATCCTCACTATACTTCCCTTCTTTCTCTCCAGAAACTGCGCTATGTGGTGGTGAGCCTAGGTAAGGAAGAGATTATTTCACTTTGTTTCTGGTCAGGCCAAACCAGGCCCTTGGGTGACTGGGAGGGAGAGAGTTGGGAGCTAGAATTTTGGGGATCCAGGAGTTGGAGGCCAAATGTCTGGGGAACAGAGGGTGGGAATGAGGGGCTTCAAGGAGTTGGAGTCCTGAAAGTTGGAAGTCAGGGGCCAGAGCTCCAGGGGGCTAAGGATTTAGGGAGAAAGGGATGAGTTCTGTGGAGCTGGGGGCCCATCAGGGGAACTTGGGGTCAAAGGGGAATCTAGGGACCTGAATTGTTGGGGTCTCAGAGGTCATCATCACATTTTTCCTAGAAAGCAACCATTCATTCAATCAACAAGCATTAATTCATTATTCAAGTCTGGACTCCTCACCTAGTATGCTATTTTACAGTCACTTCCTCCTTCCCCCCCAACCCTCCCCCCACACACTTAGGGGCTCTAACCTTGGGACTTAGCTCCTTCATCCCTCCTATTTGTTCTTTTGCTTGGTGTATGAGCAGAGCTGGCAGCCCCTACTCAGCTTCTCCCCAACTCTGCCCCCAGCACAGCCTCCACCCTGAGTTGTATCCCAGGGGAGAGGAGAGACAAAATTAGGCTTGGACATATCTCCTCTATAGACCTCTCAGGCCTAGAGGCCCCTGCCTCTTTCCCTGGCCTCTGAAAAGTCTTACTTCTCTGTCCCCTTCCCATTACAAATCCTCTTTGGTCCAAACCCACCCTACACTTTCTTGGCCTGGAAGGAGAAAGTCTTTCCTAAGTGCTGCAGTCCAGCAAGCTGTCCCTGTGTCTGTTTCTGGTAGCCCAGTTCTCTTAAACTTTTCCTTTTCTCCTTCTTCCCCCTACCCCAAACTTATATTGGTCCTCACTCTTCCATCTACTCAGCGTCTTCAGACAACCTACCCACACCAGTATGAGGTCTGCAAAGCTGTTCTTGATTTAGCTACACTGGGCAAAGGGCTTCTCACCCAGCTAGCAAACTTTTTAGCAAAGCCTTTGAATGAATGAATGAGTGAGTGAAAAGCATTTATTAAATCCTTACTGTGTCCAAAACATCATGCTGAGTCCTGGGGATACAAATAGAAAAGTAAGACAAATCCTGTTCTCCAATGGGGAGATGTTACCTATAGGAGGGTTTGGCCGTGAGTTAATCAGAAAGGTCCTCTGGTCCTTAGGATGCTGTGGGAGAACTTTGCCATTTTTCAGGTAAATAGAAGCAATACCAAATCTTACAGTCTTTTGCTGTTAGGTGTCACACATCCGAGGTCCAGGAGTAGCTGTGGAGGATAGAGGACATGGAGGGGAGAGGAAGTTGCTAGTTTCCTAATGAGAGATTTTCCTGAGTTCTAGCCACATCCTGTGGCTTCTCAACAGAAGTAGGGGGCAGGTAGGAGAGTATGGATAGTTCTAAGCTATATACTACACTTATCTACCCTCTAACAGGGAGCTCCAAGGAGGTGCTGAGGGAAAATAGGGGCAGCAGGGTCCTTCATTCCATGAAGCTCTGACTCTCCTGTTAAGTCCCAGGAGCCTTGGGTCCCAGTGAGAGATCTCTGCTTATGTCCCAGATGTTTAACAATAGACAGTGTTCAGCTTGTGCAGAGGGACCAGTGGCCAAGTAGAGGCTAGATGTGATGACCAGAAGGTAATTATGCCTATGGTTTTTTTTTTGCCTGTTTCTCAGCTCTGGAGAAAGTACAGAAAACATCAGCTTAAGGGAGTTTATCTGCAACAAGGTGAGTAGGAGGCCCTATTGCCACCATCTCCCAGCCTTTCGATCCTACCATGCCCTCCCTTCTGGCTCCTTGGAGGCTAGAAATCCCATCTTCAAAGTCCTACTCCTGTTCTACAAAAGCCCTAGTTCCTTACACCTCTGACCTCGGAAATTCCACACAATAGCCTGGCTTCTTGGGAACATTTTTGGATGGAGTCCATTTCTTCTTCCATTTGTCCCAGTGATTCTGGGAATTCTCTCCTATTTCCTTGCCTCAGTTTCTCCATGAAAGCCCTGGGATGAGGTAGCCTTGAGCAAATCATAATCTTTCTGGGCCTCAGTTTCCTCATCTCTAAGATTTGTGGGTTGGAGTAATAATTAAGTGGCAAAGTGGATAGAGCACTGGGCCTGGAGTCAGGAAGACCTGAGTTCCAGTCCAGCCTGAGATACTTAATAGCTGTGTGACCTTGAACAAGTCACTTAACATCTATTTGCTGCAGTTTCCTCAACCATAAAATGGGAATAATAGTAACACCAACTGCCCAGGATTGTTGTGAGGATCTAATGAGATAACATTTGCAAAGCATTTAGCGCAGTGCCTGGCACACAGTAGGTGCTACATAAATGCTGGCTATCATTATCATCATCATCATTATTATTATTCTATAAAGCAGCTTTGTGGAGAGGAAAAATGTAGACCTCATAGTCACAGGCTTTGAGTTAAAATATTGGCTATGCTATTTCCTAGCTGAGTGACCTTGGGCAAGTTATTTAACTTCTCTGGGCCTCAGTTTCTTCATCTGTAAAATAAAGGGGTTAGACTAGATGGTCTCTAAGTCTAGATCTTTAATCTTATGGTCTCTAAGGTACTTTACTTTTCTAGATATCTTTTGGATTGGGAAGTTCTGAGAGGTGGGGTGCTATGGGGCAGGGGTCTGAACACAGGGGTAGGGGGCCTGTGGAGGAGGAGAAGAGCCTTGAAGGGCATGCAGAAGGTGGCAAGGCCTGGAAGCAAGCTCTGACAACTTAGTGGTTTTGTGAAACAGCAAACCAGGATGTGTGTCTAGGGTTGTGGTTGGAGGTAGGTGGGGGCCCAGTCTGTGATCTCTGATACCATGTAGTCCCTGTTCTCTTCCATTCTTGATGTTGCCTTCTGGATTCTGATCCCCAGACAGCCCAAGGGTCACTGCTGACCAGAGAAGAACTAGTGATGGTGCTGGGCAGGGCCCAGTGTAAGGATCCAGGGATGGCACAGACTCTGACCCTAATCTTTAGCTACTCCAACCTCACAGAACTCCTGGGCGCGTTTGGCCAGGTAACTGGGGGGAGACCTGCTGATAATGGGGTGGGTGGGCTCAAGGCAGCGGACAGGGCAATGCCTGGTGCTTCACAAATCCTAGTGGCCCAGTATTTTTAACATGCTGAGTGGCTCAATGAGGGGAGGGAGCTATGCCCGGTAAATGGCTTGGCATTTAGACTGTCTTGGACCTTTCCTTTGGCCTCTTGCCTCTGTTTCCCTATGGAGGCCTTGGCCTGGGTGTCTGGGCCTTTGGTGGGGCTGCCTACAGACAAGTGGATAACATATCTGGGGAAAATGCTTGTGTTTTTCAGCTAAATGACTCTGCCTGCCATTTAGCTACTCTGAAGGCTTTGTGGACCATTATGCTCCAGCACCAACTGGATTTTAAGGATACCCTGTCCCTGCGCTGGTGGTTCCAGGTTCTCCTCTGGCCCTTTCTGGTATCATTGTCCAGAGAAGATCTACGATGCTTTTCACTTGGTGCCCTGGACTGTGACCAATACCAGGCCATGTAGGTTTACCAGGCACTGGACCCCTTTTCCATCTTCCCAGAACCTAGAAGGGGAGGCCAATCAGAATCAACAACTTTATTTCCCCTGATATGGAAGGTGTTTGGGCTTTATTTTCTCAAAACAGAGAACCAGATGCAGAGCCCTGGGTTGTGGCTGGCAGGTGGAGAGGAGAAATGTCCTTAAGAAAGCCCTAAGTCTGTGGCTGTCACCCTTGGGAATCCCTAGGTCTGGACAGGTTGAAATATAGCCGTCACCCTCAGGAAATTCAGTCTCAGTAGAAGACATTTCTCCCATCCTTGGGAAATATTTAGTCTGAGGAGAGATCTGCATTCTTTTTCCCCTTCCCCACCAGGAATCCTTCAGCCTAGCTCCCATAAGTCTGAAGGGGAACCATGGTCTCTGTCTTCATGACTGAAGGAGATAACATCTCCCCTTCCTGATGGACCACTCAATCTGAGAGGGAGACAAAATCCCCCCCCATCAGGGAGCCTCCAGTTTAGGGGGACACTACCTCTGCCATCAGGAATCCCCCTTCCAGAGGGAGTGATGTGGTCCCTGCTCTTGGTGAGCACCCAGGCTGAGGAGGAGACCTTGCTCCTCACCCTTAGGGAGCCTCTGTTATGGACAGAGGGAGTCCCCTTTCTCCCCTTCAGAAAGGGGGAGACACAGCCCTTGCTTCCAAGGAGCCCCCAGTCTGAGGGATGAGACACTGTCCTCATATCTGAAGGGGAGATAATGGCCTCCATTCTCCATTCTCTGAAGGAGACACATGGCCCTTGGCCTCAGGGAGCCCCCTTCCTAAGAGGAAAGACCAAACCTCAGTCTCCGATAAACTCACACAGTGAGGAACTGCATCACCAGAAGAAGGATTGGCAGAACTTGGAGGCCTCCATTACTGGGCACATAAACTGTTTTCCCAATCAGGTTCCCACTCTAAAGCCTCAGGCATCCTGTCTCATCCTCACACACATTTCTATTAAAGGCTTAACTTTGTCTCTTAGCTAAGTCTAGAAAAGCAAGGAAGTATTGCTTTACCTAGAACCTGCCAGACCTGTCTCATCAATCTAGCTACACCCTTGCACATGCCCTGTCTCTGACTCTCAGGTCTCCCATCCCTTGGGAACCAATGAAAGGCCTTTGCAAGCCTCCCAACCACAGAAAAGGTAGTGTAGCACCTTGGGTAAAAGATTGTGCTTTGAGGCAGGACACCTGGGTTCTGCTTCTAATGCCTTGGGTGACCTTGGCTAAGTTGTTTCTTCTTTGGGCTCTTTTTTCTACAAATGGGAATGACACCTATCCTCCTATGGCTGCTGTTTCAATATTCATGAAGGTCTCAAACCACAAGATTCCATATAGATGTGAGTAGGAGGAAGGAGAGTGAAGAGAGTGAGGATTAATATATGTTTGTGGGAGAATTCATGGGAAAAGACCTGAAGGTATTATTGGACTACAAGCTGAATACAAATCAATAGTGATAGACTTTTAGCCAAAAAAAGCAATTGTGTTCTTAGATTACGTTAATAGAAGCATCTTGTCTAGAACAAGAAAGGTAATCACCTCCTATCCTGTGCCCTGATGACACAGCTGGAATATTGCTTCCAGTTCTGGGCACCATGTTTTAGGAAGAATATTCACAAACTTCTGGAGTGTGTTCAGAGGAGAGTGACCTGGGGACTCATAACTACAACTCATATGGATCATTTGAAGGAATTGGAGAAGATTTCAGATCCGGGTAGAGGAGGAGGGTCCATCATGTGGAATAGTTATTATTAGCCTTGCTCTTCTTGGCTCCCAAGGGTATAAGTAGGAACAGCAAGGGCAGGAACACAGTATAAGGAAGACCTTGCTAACAACTAGACCTGTCCAGCAGCGAAATGGACCGCCTCACAAAGTATCAAACTCTCTGTCATGGGAGAGCGTCAAGCAAAGCCTAGATGACCAATCATCAGGGGTGTTAGAGTGAGGATTCCTTTATGTGGTTTGAGATTGAACTAGGTGGGGCCAGAGGTCTCTTCTAGCTCTGAAACTCTATTGTCTCTCACCCCCTCACCTTATATCTCCCATGTTTAGACCTGGAGGATATCTCTGGGCTTGGGACTCTATTGCTTCCTTCTCCTTGAAGAGATCCTCAGGCATATGGTCAAAGGCCTTCTGTGGGGAGAGGTTCCACCCAGCCTAGATCAGGGGAGCCAGACTCTACCTACCGATCAGATTACTGATGTTGTGTTCCTCCCTCTTTCTGTCACCAGTCTAGCCTCCAGCCCTATATCCTGCTATCCTACAGGCTACCTCTCCCATTCTACTATAACCTTGATCAGGGGAGGGTGCCCCCCCCACTCATACACACTCTGCACACTTTTACAGACTGCCAGTCCCAATGGTCATGCCCAGCCCTTGTGGGTTTGCTATCATTGTCCTCTCTGTAGGGAACAATAGGGCAGAGGTTATCTAACGGTCAGGTGGGGGGTGATGGGGTCTTAGAGGAGGACCATGTGAGAATCTGCTTTTCTGAGAAGCCCTTGGGGTTGTGTCCCAGTGTTCAAGGGCTGGATATGGAATTTGAGGGGATAAGCCAAGAAATCCAAGAAGCTGTCTACACAACTTTCCAGTGGCCTGTCCTGACATACCTGAACACCAGTGGTGAGGACACTTCCCTCGCTTTCCTCCTCTTCTTGGCTCTCTCTACTATATAGTGGAGAAAAAAAGGGAGAGGAGAAACTGGGAAGGAATAGAGGGTGGAGGGTGGAAAATGGCAGTGGTGGGGAAGAGGAAAGAGGAAGAAATGAATGGGTTGGGATGGGACAGCAAAAAGGGATACAAAGCAGAGGGAGAAATACAGCAAGAGAAATACAGTAGAGCTTGGGGGTCGATGGGAAGAGCGCATAGAAAAGAGAAAGGATGGAAAATGGAGAAACTAAGCAAGAGGAAACAAAAGTTGGGAATGGAAAATAGACCAGAGGAGGAAGTCAATCAAAGTGTGTATGGAATGGCCTGGTGGAAATGGACAGAGAAGATCTAGATGAATGCTTAACAGTCCCCACAGCTTGGCTTCCCTTCCCCTTCTGCTCCTCTTCATTCTCATCCCCCATGTCTGCCCTAGTGCTCATTGCAAGTATCCCACTCCACATGTCCTACCATGGATGTATTCCATGCTGGAGTGGATACCTGGCTCCCCTCTGAAACGGTGAGACTGAAGGACCACTGGTGATGTGCCATGTCTCTGCCAGGGCTAACCTGTGTTCCAGAGAGGAACAGCCAGCACAGCCTGGTTGGATGCCAACCTTGGCCAATTTAGCCGCTATGCCACATATGGGGACCTGGTTGCTTTCAACACTCAGTTTGATGGGGTAAGTCCCAGTAGGTGGAATAAACAGGGTAATCAAGGGACTTTAGAGTTTTAGGGCTGAGTGTTTCTAGGACCTAAGATTTCACAGTACTCATCCACCCTCACCTCCAGACTTAGCTGGTAATTCTGGTCTGTGGAACAAGGATGAACGTTTCACTGAAGGTCTCCCTCCACTAGAGCCATCCCATAAGGGCCCTCTGTTTCCAAGTCCAGGGATGTTTTTTGCTCCACTGCTGGGGGTGAGGTGGGGGAGTAGGATGAATATGTGGGTGGGTAGTCACTGGCCAGATTTAGATCTTTTTTTCTGAGTTCCAGAATTAGGGATTAATTGACGTCTGGGGCTAGTGGCCAGTCTGGAGCTGGGGTTGTGTAGGACCAGGTTAAGAAGTTAGTTAAGATTCAGGGTCTAGACTCGGATTGTGGCTTGGGTTAGGGCTCTCTTGGGCCATCGCTTAGCTGGGTGTCAAGGCTAGAGTTGATCTGGAGCTGGATTTGAAGGTCTCCCTGTGGCTGCAGTCAGAAACCAGTGTTTTATTAGGGCCTAGGGCCTGAGGTATTCTGGGACTAGGATCTGCATATAAAGATAGGGGTCAGTTTAGGGCCAGGCCTAGAGATCAGCCAGGCACTGGGATGATGAAGGCCATATACTCCAACCCTGTCATTTTATAGATGAGGAAACTGTGGCCCAGGGAATGTGAAATGATTTACCCAAGGTCACACAGGGAGCAGAACCAGAAATTGGACCCAGGTTCTCTGATTACAGAGACAGTGTTCTTTTCACTGTTCTACCTATGGCCAGGCTAGATGCAGTTTCAGGGGTTAGGTTACGGCCTGATATGAGATTCAGTCTCTAGGTTGGCTGTGAGTCAGTCTGTGGCCAGAGGGTTTAAGACTGTCCAGCAAGGCTTAGAGGGTATTCTGTGCCCAACCTTAGGGCTTAGACTTATACCAGAGTTTGTACCAGTCTTTGCCTGGGGTCAGGTCTCAAAATGAGAGGCAGTGTATATAGTGGACACAGGTCAGGCCTAAGGGTCAGGAAGACCTTGGTTCAAGACCTGTCTTGGACACATACTAACTGTGGAGCCATGAGGGACCCACTTAACCTCTAGCTGCCCCCAGACAACTAGCTAAGCCTGTAAGTTACAGAGGAGCTGCAATCTGCATTGATGGAGGGAGTTCCTTGCTTCAGTTAAATCATTTGTAACCACCCCCCCAAAAAAAAGTCTCAATATATCACGAGAGATAGGCATCAGCCTAGGGCTGGGTTTAGGAGTCATTTTGGTACCAAGTTTGTCCCCAGTGGAAAAGTAACCTATCAGTTAAGGGGATTCATCTTGACCTTGACCGGGACAATTAATAAGCACACTCTTCCCCAGAGTTTTGCTTGGTGCCACCTAGCGGCCTCTTTGCTGTGAGTCAGAGCTCTTCATCAATCGCTGCTCTCCAGTACAGGTGGACGGCCCGAGATGGCTTAGTCCTGGCCTTGTCCCCTTATCGGCCTTCCGCCTTTGCTTGTCCCCAGCTCCAAGCCCTGGACCGTCTCACTTTAAGGCAGCTGGCTCAGCTGGTAGCCACCAAAGGTGCCTTAAAGGAGACTAGTTGGAGGAATTCCCAAACAACTTCACTAAGCAGGTAAGGAGTGGTTCTGACCTCCACCGCTCACAGCTGAACTCAAGTCCTGGGCTGGAATCTCCAGCATCTTCCCACTTTCTGGGGAACCTGGGCAGCTCAGGCTGACTGTGGGACACAACAGGAGAAATCCAGGGGCCTGTGATCAGCCTGGCCTTGCCTTTAGGCAGCAGTGAATGATGGAAACGTGCAAAGTTTGGGTCCAAGGGTCTCTTAGTTATTTTCCAGCCCTAGATCTATGATACTATGACGTTAAATCTTTTTTTGTTTTTGGCTAGGCAATAGGGTTAGCTAGTAAGTGTTATGTGCCTGAGGCTGGATTTGAACTCAGGTCCTGAATCCAGGTCCCATGCTTTATCCATTGTGCTACCTAGCTGCCCCTATGACATTAATTCTTTTGTATTAAACATCACCCTCTCTCTGTGATCCTTTTTTAAATCACAGACTCCCCTTGGGAGGGAATTTAGAGGCCATCTACTACTCCAAATGCCTCATTCTACAAATAAAGAAGACAGGGCCACAAGGGATGGCTAGAGTACTGGGCCTGGAGTCAGGAAGAACTGAGTTCAAATCTGGCCTCAGATGCTTACTAACTGTGTGACCTGGGCAAGTCACTTAACCCTGTTTGCCTCAGTTTCCTCGTCTGTAAAATGAGCTGGAGAAGGAAATGGCAAACCACTCCAGTGTCTGCCCAAGAAAACCCCAAATGGGGTCACGAACAGTTGGACACAACTGAAATGACTCAAACAACAAAAATCCAACTGTGTCATTCTATAGATGAAGAAGATAGGGCCACCAAAGTGAAGGCACTTGCCCAGCCATGATTTGAGGCCAGATTGTAGGTTTCCGAAGCCAGAGCTGTTTTCGCTACACCACGCTGTAAGGGTTGGGGTGTGGAGAGCCTAAGAAAGAATGCAGAGGGCTATGGAGGACCCATACCTAGGCCTGGCACCACTCTTGGTTCTTGGTGAAATTCCTAGGGCAAC